AAACTAAATGGGTTTTTTTAATCATTTTAAGATTTTTTTTAATTTTGTTGATAGCTTTCTTTAAATCATCTCTGTATATGATGATAATAGGAAAGTAATTGACAAAATTGTCAATTTTTTATCTTTAATCATTTTTTTTTTATATAAAGAAAACCTGTATATTATATTTTTATTTCAAAAATGCAGTTCTTTTAAACTAGTTTGAACTTAAATTTCGGTTAACTCAAATATATAAATTTCCAAAAATAACTAGTATAATAAAATACAGTACTGCATTACAATTATTTGTAAGAAAAATTCAATTTAAACTGTTTTTATTTTTTTATTGCAAACAATACTATTGATTTAAAATAATTGTACTGCATTACAATTATTTGTAAGAAAAATTTAATTCAAACTGTTTTTATTTTTTTATTGCAAACAATACTATTGACTTAAAATAATTTAAATTATTGTGATTTAACAAATGAACAAGTCATATAAATCAAAAACTAGGTTATCTGGCTTAAAAAAAATTATATAATTTAGTATAATTAAACCAGTCGTAACAAATTGCATAATTTAATTTTAATAGTAGTAAGTGTAAAATAAATTAAATATATTTTTAGCAGTATTTGATTAGCAAGGGATTGTCTATTTTTCTGTTTGACTAATTAAAATGATATTTCCAACATAATTAAAAGCACGTAGGGTTCTCCTTGCACAGCACAATTAAATAATAAATATGCTATATCCATGCTGAGTTTTTTGTGGCTGTGGCCATGCCAGAGATGGTAAGTGACCAGGTTATTTGCCCAAAATTTAATGACCAAGTCATTTGAGTAGAGTGTTCAGAATTATGCACTGCAGAATTCTGAATACCCTACATTTGAGTAAATGATTTGGTCATTTTCATTAGGTATGAAATGGCCAGATAGCTAATATAAAGTTATTGATTCACTAATCGAACACAAAGTTAAATTTTACTAAATTAATCAAATGTTTATATCTTCAATAAAGTTGTTCAGGAGAACAACTTTTAAAATATCGATAATAAAATTTGACTTTTTTTTTCTTTATGAAAATTACTTTATGTCTAATCAGTTAACAAATGTTAAATAACTTTCTTTGGTCATTTGAATGTGAAATGACCCAGATGCTGCCTTTAAATTATTAATTACTGCAAGCTTTTTAAACAAAAAGTTTTACATTGTATGAGATGAACTCTCAAATTTTAGCTAAATACACTTCTTTTATATATTCATAAAATTCAAATTATATAAATCTGCTTGATTTGAAAACAATACCAACTTTTATAATCTGGATTGTAAATAAATTTAAAGTACTTAAATTTTTATACTACAATATATTTAAAATCTTCACTAGATATAAGATTACTTTATGTTAATTGTTAATTCTATCTAATTGAATAACAATTTAATTTAAAAAATAAAATAAAAAGAATATTCAAAGTTATATATATATATTTGTTGTTATTAGTCAGTTATGTTTTACTTTGGTATGCTATTTAATATCATGTCCTCTCAATAAAAATACGATTACATATCTTGCAATAAAAATTGCAATTTTTTTCTTAGAAAAGAATATTATTAATAAAAGTTGATCATTTCAGAAAGTATGCATAACAATAAAGAAAAATGCAAAAAGAATCCAAGGTCAGAATTGGTGCATTTAATATTAAACAATTTGGTAAAAAAAAATTAGAAAATTATTCTGTAATGAAAATTATCGTCAATATTCTTAAGTGATATGATATTGTTCTTTGCCAAGAAGTTCATTTGGATAAAAAAATGATCGAAAAACTTGTTACCTTATTATTAAAATCCTACTCTGTTCCATATTCTTGTTTGTTGAGTCAATCTACTGGTAAAGAAAGATATCTTTACTTATACAATTCGAACAAATGGCAGGTACTAGAATTAATTAATATCAAAAAGTTTGATAAAAAATTTTTTAGAGTACCTTATGTTGCTCGATTTCAATATTTAAAAAATCCTCATATTAGAATTACTCTCATTGGATGCCATACACATCCAGATAGTGCATACGAAGAAATAAAAGCATTAGTGAATGAAGTATATGTAGATATTAAAGCGAGATTAGAGAAAAGTGATAGTTTTTCTGTTTTATTATATTGTTTTGAAAGTTCATATTTCGGTTCAAATGACGATGAACCGATAATTATAATGGGTGATTTCAATGCTTCGGGTTCTTACCTTAAAAAAGAAGAGCAAAATAAACTTGACAATATATTACATAAAAATGGTCTGGTGTGGAGAATTGGTCATTCGAGTGATACCACTATCACTTCTAAATGCAATACTTATGATCGATTTGTATTTGAAGTTAAAAATAAGAGAAGATGAATTGGAGATACCAGGATATTTAAATTTGACAAAAATTTTAAAGATAAGGAACTTTCTAAGCATGTTTTAGATCATTACCCTATTGAGTTTGAATTAAAAACATAAACATAGATTTTGTTAAAATCAGCCTGCTGGTTGATTTTATTAAATATCAGCCTAGATCACTAGTTGCTAAAATTTTAGAGTTAGGGTATGGTTATAGAGATTTTTTTTTTTATAAAATATAATATAGATTAGATATAAGGTTTTCAGGAGTTCTGAATATTTTTACTTAGAGTACCTGATCCCGTTTACTTAGTAGGTTTTTGAGATATAGCAGATATTTAATAAAATCAGCCGCTGGTAGTTAAAAATTCTCTTTTTTTTTATACTTTTGAAGTGATTTGAAAGTTTTTTTTTACATTAATAAAAATAAAATTTTTATCAATTAGTGCCATTCACTACTAAATAATCAAAGTTTTTTTATATTGGGTCGATAAAAAAATTTAGTTTAAAGTAATAGAAGAAAAATCGTAACATAGAAAAATAAGAAGATATTCAAGTTCGTAATGCAAACCAGAATATAATGATATCAATAAAATTTATTATTATCATGTTTATTAAAATTTTTCTATAGATACTCATAAAATTTCCGACAGAGGCAATATATAACTGCACTGCTTTGACTTGTTTGAAATAAATAATTATAAATTTATGTTTAATAATATTTGAGCCTAATAAAAAATATGGTTAAAAATGCTATTAAGTTTTTTTTTTTTTTTTTCAGAATCTTGAATGCCAGATACTTCCACAATGTCGCTAATATAAAAAACTAGTATAGGAATATATGTTTATCTACATCAAGAAAACCTCTAACAAGACAAATTCCAACTAAAATTTGTCATCAAGCTCGACCAAACCCATCTTTGAGATGACAAGAACCAAACAGAGCTCTCTCTGGTATCTTGAATGCCTGCTACATCACTGTAACATAATGGTTCTGCAGAAGTTATTTGAGTTACAGCAAAAGTGCTTCCGTTTGAATATTCTCCAGTGCTGGTAATTTCTGCATACAGGCCTTGTAGTACAGAAACTTTAAATACAATGTTAGCAATTGATGTGTTGAAAGAAGCCACAATTGGTACAAAACGGGTGCAATAAAATGTAAGTGGGATGGCATACAATGCTATGTTTAGAATTATTACCAAAAAGTTAAGAGCAAAAATAAATAATTTAAAAAGCTTCATAACTAGAATATTTAATTTAAATGATTTGATTTTGAAAAACCACTACGTCCTGAATTTATTGCATAAGTTTAGGCTTTAAATATATTAGAGTTCATCTATATTAGGAAAAATTAAAACTAATTTCGATTGAAAATTCAATAATTTAAAATTCAGATTTAATTATGAAATTTTTTTAAATAAAAACAATAAGGTCAATTAACTTTAATCTATAATGACCCTAGCCCTAAAGTTAATTCCTTAAAATATATATTATAAGAACTGCTCTGCTTTAGACGTTCTCTAAAAATAGTAAATTTATTACTATATATAATAATCTAATAAATTTTTTCAAAATATTAAAATTTTTTATTTGGCAGTTGTTACACTAATAAATATACGAAATTTTGAAATCTAACAATATGAAACCTAATTTATGAAATTATACTTAATTTTGCTCACCTAAAATATTAAAATACTTTTGCAAAAAAAAATATCTTTCTTTTTAAACATAAAGTAAAAAAATATATATAATATTATCATTAACTAAATATTGGCACTTTTTCAGTATCATTATTATTATTTGTCCTGTCAGCAATATCACAGGAGCTAATACATAATAAAATTGCTGCAACAGTTAAGAAAGAAGCGCTTATAATAGCCAAATAAATGCCAGGACCAGTGTTTTGACTTCCAATACCAGGAATAATAGAAATAAGATCAAATACCCAAATAAAAAGTGAGATCAAAAAAACAAGCAATGATATTAAATAGGGAAGAAGTTAATATGAGTAAAGCAGCAATAATTGTAAAGTGAAAATAAAATAAAGGTAAAGAGATTACATTAAATATTAAACCTATTAAATAAGGAATAATGAAAAAACCCGAAATGTTAGCAGAATTTCTTGGTTTAAAATTATCGAAAGCACTTAATAACTGAGATAATAAACTTGGGGCTACTGCAGCAATATCCCTAGCAGAATTTGTAGCAGTATTTGCAGCATCGGTGATAGTACTACTAACGGCTAAAACAGCTGAATCTAAACTAGATAGAACATTAGGAATTGAAGAAGTTAGGATTGAAGGAATTGGAATATCGAGACGGTTTTTATTTGAGAATTTACCAGTGATTTCTGAAGGAGAGGGCACTAACAATTAAAAATAATTTAATAAAAAAAATGATAAGAAAATATTCAAAATTAATTTATTTTTATTAAAATTATAAACTAGTAAAGGTGTAGTGCAAGAATTATCTACACAATACTGTATAAAGTGAAAGTAATATCTTTTTTTTTTGTAATAAGTTTTATCAGTTCGTCAAAAATAGAGGTAGGGACATTTATCAGGTTGAGAGTAGCTACCTCCATGGCAAACGTCATGGTATTATGTTACTTTTAACGTAAACATAAAAAGTGCCGTATGACGTATATAGTACCATATGCTATATATAGTGTTGTATGCCATATGTAGTGCTGTATGCCGTATGTCATATGTAGTGCCGTATGTCGTATGTAGTGCCGTATGTCATATGTCGTATGTAGTACCATATACCGTATATCGTATATAGTACTGTATGCTGTATTAGTGCTATATATTGTATATAGTGCCGTATGCTGTATATTGTATGCAGTGCCATATGCTGTATGTTGTATGCAGTGCCGTATGCCGTAATACTATATACTTGACGTATGCC